TACTTTGTTGCTTGTAGAGGAAAAACAGATGCTCGTTGAATTTCCCATACACACTTTTCAGGACAGTCTTTGTTTCCAAAGTTGTAGCTTTCTATCACCTTTAAGAATTGCTGGTTTTTCTTTTTCTGTATCAAATACAGACACAGTGACCAACACAGACTGATGTTGGTACTGTATCAAATATATTTTAATAACGAGTTCTTCAGAGCATCTGTTTTTCTTGACATTAGGTGCATGTACTAGGATTTAAACATTTAGCAGCATGTTTAATCTGTTGTCAGACATGTGACTGATAATCAATTCAACATCAAAAGAATACAAAATGCTTTTTTCCCCATGGACAGAGGATTTGTTTAAAATTTGATAAATGCTGTTTTGAAGAAAATTGGATATTTGGATCATAAATTAAACTGAGTAATCATATTGTTTTACATGACAGCTTTAGAATCTCAAGAACAGGAAAAACACAGTATGATTGCCTGGAGTTTTATTCATTAGCTTTACATGCACTTAAATATTTGCTGTCACCTGCCTGTTGCAGTAACCTCATCTCCTGAACTTGATGAAAACAAGAAGCCTGGTTTCCTTAATCTGAGTGAGGGATTAAGAGAAACTTTAAAGGATTAAGAGGTTTCCGATGAAAAAACATGATTTCCTGACAATGAAAACTGATATTTGAATTAAATGCCTACTTCTATTGTAATTCCCTCCAGACATGACTTTTAAAACTTTAGTTAATTCATTTATGTTGGTCTTATAAGCTCCATTTCTTCCTTGGTAGTGGACCTGAATGAAGGGTGAAAGACAGTATGAGAGGCTTTGAATTTGTCATGAATTGTACACATCTGTCTGTCGTCTTTCCTGCTGTTCTGCACTTTTTTTCCCCACATTGAGATCTTACTCTTTTACCTTTCCCTGTCTTTTGTATGCCAACTTCTTCTACACTTCCTTTTCCCTTGTTTCTCCTCCTCCACATTTTCTGTTCATGTCCAATTATACTTCTCTCACTTTGTCCACTCCGTTTGGCTCATCCTTTCTACTCGTCCTTTCTTATTCTGCCTTTCATTCTCTTTCTTTGCTGTGTTCTTCTTCTTTGGTTTAATTGTCTTGTGTTTTTTACCATTGCCTGTCTGCCCAAACCCTTTTCGTCCCTGTCCTTGGTTGTTCCCTTGATCTCGCACCTTTCCCGCTTCTCTGTTTTTTCATATTGACTTTGTTCCCCCATTTTCCCACCCACATTTTGTCCTCTCTGCTTTTCGTTTTCGGCCTGTCTCCTCCTTCCTGTCCTCCATTGTTTTCTCCTGCGCTCCTCCCTGTTCACCCTCCTACAGCTGTCCAGGAGGAGCGGCAAAGAAACAAGGATCGAGAAGGCGAGGTGGAGTCGAGTAGTGCAGTGAACGAGGAGATGCCGGTGGAGAAGATTTTGGAGGCGGAGATGGCTGTAGAGCAGAAGACGGAGCTTCATGCAGATGGAAGTTCAGGCGGCAGTTCCGTGAGTATTCTGGACGGTGGAACTTAACCACAGTCTCTGCTCAGTGAAACATTTGAGTTTATGTTAAGTTAAGTTTGAGTTGCAAATATTGAGCATATGAGATTGCAGCTGGTATTAACAGTAAGCACATTATTTGATCAAATATTTGTTCATCATCTTCAAAATGTGCTTTCTTTAGCCCAACGATCCTGTCACCAACATCTGTCAGGCAGCTGACAAGCAGCTCTTCACCCTGGTGGAGTGGGCCAAGAGGATCCCTCACTTCTCTGAGCTGCCCCTGGACGACCAGGTCATCCTGCTTCGAGCAGGTAAGATCAGTCTGACTCAAGAAGTGATTCTGCTGGTAGCTTGTTTTCTCCTCCACTACCTTGTCCTTACATACTGATCCTGTGCCTCCTTCATGCCATGCAAATGCAGTCAAATATCAGCTAACACAAGACTGCACTCCCAGCCTTCAAAGGTTTTATGCATCCTGCATATTTTTCACTGTTCCTTCTTGACAGTGGCATCAGAGTTTTAATTTACGCTCACAGCATGAAAATCAAGGAAAGTGGGGCATATGGTATGTCAATGCTAAATGAGAACATGTCACAGCATGAAAATCAAGGAAAGTGGGGAATATGGTATGTCAGTGCTAAATGAGAACATGTTTATTAGCCTTTGCACAGTCAGACCTCTGCTATTTTTAAATATTCTGGTTTATAATTCAAAAAGGATTAGTAGGAAAAGTTTTCCAGTACCTTGTACAATTATGATGATGATAAATATTTCACAAGGTTTGATCAATAAATTTGATCTATGTAATAATGTATTTAGTGCCAGGCTCAGGTGGCAGGTCTTAGTAAGCGTTTGTAATTACAGAATAACAACAGGTGTTTAATCCTGATCATTAATTTTCAGTTTGATCAACGCAGAGCCACCAATGTTCAGTTAGATCAGGCATTAAGAATAGTAAAATATTTAGATATTTTCATTCACTAGAAAAGTTAAGACACCAACTCTTCAACAGGCTGGAACGAACTCCTGATTGCCTCGTTCTCCCATCGCTCCATCTCGGTGAAGGACGGGATTTTGCTGGCCACCGGCCTGCATGTCCACAGGAACAGTGCTCACAGTGCAGGTGTTGGAGCCATCTTTGACAGGTAACACACACATAGAAACACTATAACTCTGACAGACCTACAGCATTAGTGATTTCTCCAGTATTCAGGTATTTGGGTGAGTGACCCAATTGGAGAGGCCCTGCACCATAAAAATATTTTGTTCACTGGAGAGTTTTAGCATTTCAGGAGCTCTTCTGCTCCACTTTGAAGTCCAAACTGCATTTGGTGTCTCAGAATAGATCTGCACATACACAGTGTTAGGCCCACCTTCTCTTAGCTCCAAATATGCTGAACCTGAAAGGCCAGGTAAAATCTACAACCCCTTTGTGAAATCACCTGGTAAATCTACATTAATCCTGAAAGCTGGATGATTACACTTCATTTATCCACATATTTCACACTCACTATTTTTGTTTTCTAAACACGTTATTGAGGTTTAGCTGGATTGTTGACTGGGGTAAGATGCTGTGTCTTTGCCTTGGGTTGGGTGCTGCTGCTGTGTTCTGCATTGGCTGTGATTGGCTGAGAGAAATTGCTGCTTTAATACAGTTAGTAAGGTGATTGTGCATGCAAGAAAGGCTGGTGACTAATGCTTACCTATAGACAAGCATGCGCGCACACACCACAGCACCTAGTGCAGCATTTAATAATGTGATAATGGCTGGCTAATGTGCAGAATCTAATGTGTGAATATATATATAATAGGAATGACAGTGATTCATTGTACAGAACACTGTAGAGGCCATGGATATAGATTTTGGTTGTATGTTTGCTTGTCTGCTGACCACACCATAATTGGTATCATAAAATAACTACCTTCTTCCCATAAACCAGTTTTCACATGATGGTTAGACCTAAATGTAGAATATTCTGCTAATAATCTCCTCTAATTACTAGGTATAAGGCGATCACTGCCAGTTTGCGTGTCTAATTGAAGGTCTCAGCATTGTAAAATAAGTGCCCCAGGTACACTATAGGTAATATTATAGAAATACTGTGTGCCTATCATGTGCCTAATGTGTTCTCTATAGGCTACAGTATGATTGATGGCCACTGTTTTTTCAGAAGTGGTTTCATTTTTTTATCTGAAGCCAGCTTATTTATTTGAGATCCCAAAACAAGTTACTTAATGCCAGAAAATAAAACATGAATAGAATTACAACCATTGCCTCTCCAGCGTTCTGCATTATTACATTAACCATCACATGTAATAATTGCTAAGCGTTGCTGGTGGTTTGATTAAGATGCGACTCTTCTTATGCTGGTTTATGGCATAATGGGATGTTACTACATCAGCAGGTTTACAACACTTTCAGTGAGACTTTCATGACAAATACCTCAGCTGTGTCACAACATGTCACTTCATTGTTAATTACACAGTAATTACATTGTTAGAAGGGTTAATAGTGCATAAATATGTAGTCAGGTTTAAAGCAAGCTAACTGGGCTCATGACAAATGGCTTCTGACACTTGTTAATTTTTTTTTCCTCATAACACTCTTCTAGCAGCAGGCTTCTGTTTCAGCTTGGCATCAGTGTCTCTCCGAAGCTACTCAATCATTGTTTCAAGAAGGACTTGCTACACAACACAGGGCTCCAGACTGCGAGTGGTCAGTCGCATTTTGTGACCAAATTTATTTAAGGTGCAGCTGACTTTTTTTTTTTTAAATTCACGCTGGGTGCGACTGCAATATAAACAGGTTGTGCACAAATGATGCTCTCACTGTAGAAATGGTGGACAGATGTAGCAGTTGCCATGATACTGTCAATGCAAAGTTTATCTGCAGGTTTCTCACTCGCTCGTCTCATGAAGCAGAGGCTTCAGATCTATCAAATGTGTTAATCCACTGTGAGTCTGAGACGCGTCATCCCTGGATGGATCAGACTCCTGCTGTCACTGAGCTTTCTGGTTTTACTTTATTCCCATCCTTTGTAGCAAGACTGGTGGCACCAGTGCCACCAGTATGAAATTTTAGTCTGGAGCCCTGCAGCAGAAAAACACAACATAATGGTGCTAATTGACAAAAGACAAAACAATATTTCAGAAAACTCAAAATTATACAAACTGCAAAGAGTGGGTACCTGCTGCTTTTGTCATTTGTTGTCAAACAACAGCTCTTGTGGACCCAAATTCATCAGTGAAGGAAGTGTGACAACCTGCAACAGGTGCACACAGAAAAAGCCAAGCACACACTGCTTTTTTTGTCTACTTATACTTTGAAACTGAGTGGCACAAGAATGACAGATAGTAGGAACCCCTCTTTTTTGATTTGTTGTGTTCTTCTGTTTTTTTTGTGTGTGTATTGTTAATTTGTTTTCCTTAATGTTATATTTTTCCTTTGTTTTTCACACAGCTCAGAGAAACGATTGTGTTGCATTGACATTTAGCCAGAAATGTCTATTGAAAGTTGAGGGTTAATAGTTTTTTTACTTGCAAACAGTCTCATGTGTACTAATGTTTTTTGCTGTTATGCATTTGGCTCATGAGATTTGTCATAATTTCCTTTTGTGTTTATTTTAATACATGTGAATATAGCGGTGCCTTATGATGTCATAAAACTGAACAGATGCTTATCAGGGGTCCAGGTTTAGGTGCAGATGTGAGATGAAGAAAACTTTGAGCCCAGACATGAAAAATGTGAACAATCCAAGTGCAAACAACAGTTTAAATATATCAGGAAGTTTAAAGCTCCATGTGAAATCATATGTAAGCACTGACCATCTCTCTGGACTCAGAGGCAGAACAGACAGAATACTGTAATAACAATGTAACTGTGTAATGACACTGTAATAACACATTGTGATTGAATACACAGGGCGCACAGTGCTGAGGTTGGCGCCATATTTGACAGGTAATTATGCCACTACACAAACACCTTTCTTAAACCCCTCCTCTTGAGTCACCATAGAAGGTTGATGCTTTTAGGCATTTCCACAGCTTTGCAGAAACCGGCCTGTTATCACTAAAAGATTATTCTGTTTGACCCAATCACTCAGTGAACTACAGCAGTGAGGTTTGAATGATGATGCACTACGTTTTGAATTTGAATTCAGCACCGTCAGTGGCTTTGACTGCTAGAAGCTTCGTCCATTGGCACGCAGAATAGTTTTCATCTTGTGCTCACTGACGTTGCCTCTTCTTGCCAAACCGAATGCTTGTTGAGCCTTGCCAGACCATAATGAGGTAATCAAAATGTATGGGTCAGCTTTGCAAAACGAAGCAAGTTTTCCAGGACATTAATGGTGGGATGTGCTGTATGATGAAATACTCCTGCTCAGGGTACTGTTTAACACGGTTAGTAATTTACTGGTGAGCCTTTCTGGGGTGTTGTTGGCCCTCTTCAGTCCAAAA